TAGCTGGAATTACAGGCATGCGCTACCATGCCCGGCTGATTTTTTTTTTAATTTATTGTCGAGATGAGGTCTCGCTGCCCAGGTGAGTCTTGAACCCACGGGCTCAGGCAATTCACTCACCTCAGCCTCCCAAAGGCGTAGGATTACAGGCTGAGCCACCGAGCCTGGCTGAGGATACTTTTTAAAGATAGAGTCGCGGCCGGGCGTGGTGGCTCAAGCTTGTAATCCCAGCACTTTGGGAGGCCGAGGTCAGAGTATTGCCTGAGCCTGCAGGTTCGAGACCAACCTGGGCAACATGGTGAGACCTTGACTCTAAATAAATCAAAAAATTAGCTGGGCGTGGTAGCACACGTCTATAGTTCCAGTGACTTGGAAGGCTGAGGCGGAAGAATTGTCGGAGCCCAGCAGGTCGATGCTGGGGTGGCCTTGAGTGTGGGTGACAGAGTGAGACTCCAACTAAAAAAAACCAAGATAAGAGTCATTAGAGTATGTCTGTGTGTTGATGGGAGTGATCTGGAGTGAGAGAAATGGATGATACAGAAAACAGAAGAAATAGTTTCAGGTGCAAGAGCCTTGAAGCTGAAGGGGTTAAGATTGGGTGTAAGCCGGGCTCAGTGGCTCAGCCTGTAGTCCCGCGCCTTTGGGAGGCTGAGTTGAGTGGATTGCCTGAGCCCGCAGGTTCATGACCCGCCTGGGCAACTTGGCAAGACCTCGTCTCTACAATAAATCAAAAACTAGCCGGGCGTGGTAGTGCGCGCCTGTAGTTCCAGCTACTTGGAAGGCTGAGGTGGAAGGATCGCCGGAGCCCAGCAGGTTGAGACTGCGGTGCCCGGGAGCGACCACTGCACTCCAGTCTGGGTGACAGAATGAGACTCCCAACTCAAAAAAAAAAAAAAAATATTGGGTGTAGAAGCTGAGGGCAGATTTTGAGAGCAGAATGCCCACCCACTGTGGGAGGAGAGGGGAGAAAGTGGGAAAATGAGGGGATTACTGGAGTTGGTGCCAGGAAAGGGAGGGTGTTCCTGTGCCACTGGGGGGGGGGCAGGTTGACAAGAAAGGACAAGAGTGCAGTTGTCTAGAGAACAGGAAGCCTGTCTTTGTGTGCTGAGGTCTGAAGCCCTGGACTAGGGTAATCCTCCTGCCTTGGCCTCCCAGAGTGCTGGAATTACAGGCTTGAGCCACCACGCCCAGCCTTCTGATGCACAAAATTTTTTTCATGGCTCGGACACCAGGGCCAGCCATGACCTTTGTCTGTTTGTCTCCAGTGCCAGAGCTGACTCATCAGCAGATCCTGCTGATGTCGCCACCATCCCTGGTCCCCTTGGAGGCCACTGACAGCATGTTGGAGCCACCACACCCACTCCTGCAGCAGACTGAGGACCAGCTCCTGTCTCCAACATTGGCATGCAGCTCCCCTCTGATCAGCTTCTCCCCACCCTTGGACCAGGATGACTACCTGTGGGGCCTGGATGGGGGTGAGGGCATCAGCGACCTCTTTGACTCCTATGACCTTGGGGACCTGTTGATTAATTGAGTGACTTTGCTTCCCTGTCTCTACCTCCTCATAGACAGACTGACAGGCCCTGTCTGCGCAGGGACATTGGCAGGGACAGTGCTGCCCTCAGGGTGGGGAGGATCTCCTCTCCTTTCCCACCTCCCTGCTGGCGGAAGCTGGGGAGGTATGGAGGGTACAGGTGAGGAGTGTATCAGGGGCTGGGTCTTGTCCTTGCTAATGGAAGCAAGCTGGGCCCAGGAAGGTGCCCGCTCAGTCTGCTGACCTCTGACCTCTCACATGAAAGACCATTAAGTAAGGTGACCGGGTCCAGAGAAAGGTCCTGCTACCTCCTTTTGAGGAGTAATTAGGACCCTCGATTTATTAAGAAGCACTTAATGCCTTTGTATTTATTTCAGGTTGAATTTTGTATGTTTGTCCTCCCTGAGTTTTAGCAGGGAGATTGTTCTAGTTTTTAGCAAGACTTCTCAGATAGGCCCACCGGGCCCATCACTGTCTGCTGTCCCAGGGCAGGCCTGGGCTTCTAGAGACCCAGGCCAACTCCCCAGTTTTCCCACAGTGGTGGAGGCCGGGTTTCTGAGGAGCCATTCAGTCTGCCAGAATGCTCATTGTACTTAGGCCTCATAATTCTAGTAAAAGGCAACTGCAGTCCCTTTGACCTCTCCCCCTGCTCTCAGCGGATGTCTCCAGCTGAGGTGTCAGCCTTGGCTCCCTGGACTTCTCTGGCCCAGAGACGGTTCCAGGGAGCCATCCCAGAGCAGGCGACCCTGTGGCTTCTGTGGAAACAGGAGCAGCCAGCTAAGGAGGTCCCCTTTCTATGAAAGTCCTTACCTCAGCCTCCCCTTAGAATGTAAAAATGACCCTCCAGGGAATCAGCAGAGATGAGCTCCAGAGGAAAACAGGAATGTGGAGGCAGCTGTCATGGCTGCTGTGGCACCTTTCCTCAGAGTTTTTGCTTTGCCCTAGTCCAGGGACCGTTTTTACCCTGAAGACAGAGGTGAAAGCCGAGGCAGCTGCACCCTAGAGAAGGGTCAGTTTCAAATAAATTGCTGAAAGCGTTCCCCTGTAGCTGGTGACACCATCCCTGCTTAACTGGAAGGATTTTTGTTTTTCCATGTTGTTGAAGGGGATGATTCTTTAACGACCTCTTTTCCCCAGCTCTCCCTCAGACCCCCAAGGACAGCGGTGACCAGGGCTTGGTGACTCCCTTGCTCCTTTTGTCAGCTGTGTGCTGAAGGAGTGTTGGGGGAGGAGTCTTCACAGCAGACCAGGCCTTAGCCGCTAATGGGGAGGTGGGCCCGTGTGAGCTCTTCAGACTTGGGGTCCTGAGAAGACCTTTTGGCTTCACGCTGTTCCCCCAGAGGCTTGATCATCTCACGTTGTCCCTGTAGCCCAGCTGGGGCAAGAGGGTCCACTCTCCTCCCCAACCTAGCCTGGGGTGGGGTGCTCTAGGCTGAACGGACTGGAGAGAAGCAGCAGGGGTGGTGGCCAGAGAGGCCTGCCACCCACCCTCAGGGAGCCAGGTTTCCTCAAGGGCTCAGCCGGGCAGCACTTTTTTCTGTTTGTAGCATTAAGTTGGTTTAATTTATGAAGTTGGCTTTGTTGAATTGTTCCTGAGGAGACTGACCGATGTCTAATGTGGACTTATTTAGGGGTGGGGCCCAGTGTGAGCTAATGCCCGACTGGGGACAGCCATGCCTTGTCATTTGCTCAGCTTCCTGGGTCCCCAAGTTAGCCCCCTCCCAGGAATGGTCCGCAGGTCACAGCTGCCCCCACTCTATAAACACGGCTAATTTTGTACTCTCTACAGAAATGCCTTTGGGCTCCCCTTCCCAAATAGGGGAGTCTCATCGAAAGCCATCTTGAAGCCTAGGGGCCATCTTGGCCCTCGGGCAGGGACTAGGGCTGCCGCATGGGATCTGGTCTGGGATAAGAAGGGCTGGAGACAACGTTGTTGTTCCGAAGTCTCCGCCCAGCTGTCATTTAGCCTTGTGCCATCTCTGGGGACAGAGATATTCGACTCCCATACCTTAGGTCCTGTCTGGAGCTTTCACCTAGAATTAAATCAAAGAGGCCTGCAGGGCCCGTTGGGAATGAGTTGAATGCTGAAGTCTGGCTGGAATCAAACTCACTCCTCAAATGCCCTGCCATAGGGCTGGACAGAGGGGGCTGCTCTCGGGCCCATGGCCTGCATCCTGAGCAGCCGCCTCTGCCCACTCTTGTGCTGTCTCTTTCACACCCTGCCGGACCGCAGAGCTGGACCTCCAGGCTAAGCCTCGGGTTCAGCGTGGGGCACGAGCTCATGCCTCTTTCTTGCCAGTGACACTCACAACCTCCCGAGTTCCATAGAATGCTTTTAGGATTCCATTGTGAGTGGTGGTTCCTTTAGAGTCCAGGTAAACTTGAAATCCAGGGCAGGAGAAAAGAGAGTTTCTTTCTGAGGTAAATGATTTCTTCCAGGAAACGTCCCAGCCCCCGATTCACCCACGTTCCCTGGGACAGCAAAGGCTTGGGGGCTCCAAGAAACCTAGTAGCATTAAACTGTTCAGTAGAGTTGGAGTTGCAAAGAGATTTCTTAAAACCAGGGACACACTCCCAAGTCCCCTCCTCTTGAAGGTGTTAGACAGACTAGAGCAGTGTCCCTTCTCCCCAGTAATGCAGCCGGGATTGTGGCTGCAGGGAAGAGGGAAATGGCAAAGCTTGTAAAACTGGCTTTCGGATGACTTTGACTTCTCTCTCCCCAAGTGTTCTCAGCCTCAGTTCTGCAGTGTTTAGAGTTTTAGAGAGAGTTTGGGTGCTCCAGCAGGTGGGTCTTGTGTGGCTTAGCGCATTTGAAGTGAAAGCCTTTGGGGGTTGTTTGAAAGGAGCTTTCTGGTTCTTGTCATTATATCCCGAGACCCCCACCTCATCCTAGGACCCTCTTCTGCCTTGAGGACCCTCAGTGACTGTGGTGGCCACAAGCCCAGACAGCCTGCTGGCTTCTGGGTGAGATGAAGAACTTTGTATGTGGCACATTTATGTTGAGGGTGAGCTGGCCCTAGGAAACCTAGTCCCTGTGTTGAGATTCTGTACGGGTCATTTACTTCCAGCCTGGTTTCGTGCTGGTCCTGCGTTGATGAGCACCATGTGAACCCCTTTGTGTGGTGATAATTGGGTATTAAACTGCAACTCTGGGCATCTTGTCTTTGTTGTGCTTTCTGAAACTCATTACCAACTGGGAGTCTGGTCCCCGCAGGCTGGAGGTTAGGGACTGTCCTGGCTAATGCTAGGAGTGCATATTTGCCAGGCTGATCTCCCCCCAGAAACAACTTTGTTTTCTGACATTGGCTTGACCTGAAATCTCACCAATTAAGATACTGAAAAGTTCTCTGCACCCAGATCTAAAATGTGATCTGCCCTGCCTCCGTCATCTCTCACCTGGGCTATTTCCGTAGCTTCCCCAACCGTTTCTGCTACACACTCTTCTCCATCACATCCTCTGTATCAGTGGTTCTTGAAGTGTAGTCCTCAGACCAGCAGCATCAGCATTACCTGGGAACTTGTGAAAATGGCATATTCTGGGCCATATCCCAGGCCTGCTCAATAAACTCAAGAGGTGGGACCCAGAATTCTGGGGCTTCATGAGCCCTCCAGGTGGTTCTAAAATGTCCCTGATGTTTGAGAATGTATGCCTTCCGCTACCCCAAAGAGATCTTTCTCAAATGTAGTTCTAGTCAGGTCACTGTCCTACTTAATGCCCACCTATGGCTCCTCTCTGCCCTCAGGATGGTCTAACCCCTTTGCTCGGCATAAACAACCATTTACAAGCTTTACTTACCTAGTCTAAGAAGTGAGGCAGGGCCTGAGGTTTGGAACATTAGCTCACACAAGGGGAGAAAAGATGTCATTTGAGCCTTTACGTTTTGTCTGGGCCCAGCACTGGCCTTCATATATCATAATCTAATTAATGCTCACAACAACTTGAAGAAATTAGACTTACCACTGCTTTATAGATGCAGAGCTGCTTAGCTTAAATAAGCTCCCAGGTAACCCTCATACATTGTTGGTGGCAATGTGCAATGGTGCAGCCATTTTGGAAAACAGTTTGACATCTCAAAAAGATAAACTTAAAGCTTCCGTAGGACCCAGGGATAATAGAATTAGTCCAACTTCAAGTAGAATAATTTCTGCTTCAAGAGAAATGGAAACACGTCCATGCAAAGACAAGACTTGCATGTCAGTGTTTATAGCAGCATGATTCAAAATAGAAATCCTTAAATAGCCATCAACTGATGAACAGATAGAAATGTATTAGATGAAATGTATCAGTTCCATACAATGGAATACTAATCTATATAAAGAAATGAAGTACTGATATATGCTACAATATCATCTTCAAAACATGCTAAGTGAAAAAAGTCACAAAGGATTATATATTGTATGATTTCAATTATAGAAATGTCCAGAATAGGCAAATCTATAAAAAGAAAAAGAAGAATAGTGGTTGCCTGAGGTTGGGATAGGAATGGGATTAGTTATAAATGGGCATGAGAAGTTTTGTGAATGGAGATACAAACAAAATACCAGCAAACCAACTCCAGCAACATATGAATAAAAAGGATCACATACCATGGGATTTATCCCAGGAATGCAAGATTGGTTTAACATCCAAACATCAGTGTAATGCACCACATCAGTAGAATAAATGACAAAAACCACATTATCATTTTACTAGATGCAGAAAAAACTTGACAACATTCGATACCTCTTCATGATTAAAAAGAAAAAAAAAAAAAAAAAACCCAGGAAACTAGAAATAGAAAAGAATTTTCTCATCCTGATAAAAAGCATCTATGAAAAACCCACAATTAGGTCATATGGTGAAATACTGAATGCTTTCCCCTATACCTGGCCCCAAGATCAGAAACAAGACAAGGATGCCCATGCTTTTCTATTCAATATTTTACTGTAGGTTCTAGCCAGGGTAATTAGACAAGAAAATGGAAAAAAAAAAATCCAGATTGACAGGAAGAGGTAGAACT